TAGAGAATAATGAGCATACTGTAGTTTTCATTCAAAGGTAATTGCTTACCAAGAGTACTTAGTCAGATGTTAGATGTAGCCAAAGGCTATGTTGCATCAGTACTTACCTGGAGAACATGTCATTCTCTATATGCACACTGTGTAGGCCTATATAGTGAATCATTCAGACACTGGACTTCACCCTGATAGGAGGTGTGCAGGACTTTTTATACCTGAGGTGACTTTCATTTATTTACATATATCAGTATTTCATGATCTAGTTCTTTATTGTGTATTTCATATTTTTCCATTTATTATATCACTGAGTTTACTAATAGTTTGTTTGTATGCATTTCAGCCTTCATTGTTTCCAGTTAATAAAGATTGGAAATCAAATAGTGTCCATCTTATCTAATAATTATAATTATTTGATTATTATAAATTATTATTATATTTGCCCCACCCACCCCGATGAAAATGTAATTGACATGACTTGTATTTTTTACAATTAAATTGTAGAAAATTGCTGTCATAACCTATATAGACATTGTTATTATTGTTCATTTTTTAAAAATTTAACCCCCCCTCCCAACACCACCTGATCAAATGTATAACTTATTCAACTTTTGTGGTTGTAGGAGATAGCATCATTTACCACTGGGAAGACAGACAGGATATACAGGGACTACAAATGGACCGAGGCTGCCACCACATTCACTAACTATGGACCGGGTGTGCGTCGAGTGGGAATCACCTCCATGGGTAAAGATGACAAGTACTGGGCGGGGTTCTACGGAGCCATCATATCAGCTGCTGTGATACGGGTACAGAGAGAGGCTATCGCAGCTGAAAATGACGCCTATGAGGAAGCCAGCCAGGTGGGGTAATGTTGTTATAGTTAAAAAGTTAAAAAGTTTTCATTTGTGATAGATGCACATTAGATTTACCTGTTGACTGTTTCACCTGAACAGGTAATTCAGCTGCGGAGTCTGTCAGAGTGAACAGACGAAACTATCAACAACTGAGATCCAGTGAAACTATTTTCAGAGTCATTGCAGTAATTTTGAAATGATTCTTGCATATTTTGTTTTAATGAGTATAGAGACAATGTGGCTGTCCACATAGTCCATGTGATATGTCAATTGAAAGCATGTGCATGTACGCACACAGGCACACACACATACGATATTATTGTTTTGCAGGTGAAGAAGTTGTCAGAAGCTGGCAAGGATGGCACCATAGAAATATTCCAGCAAAGAGAAAAGCTGATCAACAAAGTCGTAGCAGACAAACAGGATCTCCTGGCGGATCTCATGGAAGATAATGGTACAAGTTTGTTTTGGTTGATGATAAAGAGCATTCATCTTATGAATACATGTTAAAGTAGATATCTAGAGTTTGGTTGAATATATAGAAGATTCAGCCTATTAATACATGTTAAAGTACATATTTTGTAAAGTAAAGGTCCCTTGGTGATAAGAAGGATTTTGCTGTTCTCAAATGCTACAGAAACTGTCAATATTCTGGTGTTACTGGCCAGGTACTCATGTTTTGTGTTACAAGCAATAATTTGCCTTTATTTGGCCCAGTAATGAGTCACAAATAGTCAAATAAACAAGATTTTTTCGTAAAAACATTATTCAGTGGTACCAGAAGTTGACAAGTCCTTCCAGAAACAGACAGAGGTCGCCACCTTCAAGCCTCAAGTGGAAAGAAAAAAGAAAAAGAAGAGAGAAATCAGATTCTTTGTCTCCAGCACTTTCAGAGACTTCAAAATGGAAAGGGAGGAGTTGATTAAGAAAATATTTAGAGAGGTGGGTGAAGTCACTTAAAAAAAATTTACTTACATGTCTTTTTGATTTTTTTTTACATAGTGCAGTGAATTATAGTTTTGCTAATTACGTTTTCTTAAAAAGAGCAATAACATATACTGGAATTCACATATACTGAGTAATTAAGTCATCAAAACCTGAGTACATGTACTCAAAATTACTATGACAAAATCCTTAGCAAATTTGGTTAAAATTAGTAGTCAGAAGACGTAGTATTTTTTTGCTGAAAACTGAGAACTGTTATGATATTTATTCATATATTTCAGATCAACCGTGTCTGTGCTGACAGAGGGGTACAGTTCACCTACGTGGACCTGAGGTGGGGCATCACAGAACAACAGTCAGAGACTGGGGAAACCATTGCTATCTGCCTAAATGAGGTAACATGCTAGATGTAGTATTAATCTGTTGATTAAGTTTTACTGACAACTGCAGAGTCATTGTACAAAATGTGTAGGCTTGTAGCCAGCAATTTGAAATGGGTGGTTCTTTTTCTGAAAAAGTGGACTTTTCACAATGAAACCTTTGAGCCCTTAGATAAAATTTTAACCAGATGGGACCTTTTCCCGGCAAAAAAGAGGTTCTTTCAAACCCTGCGAACCCTCCCCCCCCCCCCTTGGGTGTTGAAAAAATGATCAAAGTTAAACTCATTTCCTTGCAGAAAGAGGAGTAATCCAGTGCCAAATTAATTACACAATTCCTTGCTTTTCTTTCTTCTCCTAGATTGACAAGTGTCGTCCCTATTTCATGTGTATGCTGGGAGAGAGGTTTGGGTGGTCACAGAAGGAAGAAAAACCTGACGCTGCTCTGGACAAGAGTTTTGATTACGCCATAGAGAAGTACCCTGCTAACATGGCCTGGATCAAAGATTTCAGATTTGACACCAGTGTCACTCAGGTGATTACATCATGATTCAAATGATACCACACACAAGTGGTAGACTAGGCAGACTGATGCATTGAATTAAGTTTGAAACTATAGTAATGAATAAGGGGAATTTGTAAAACTGTGCAAAGTAGAGAGCCGTTAAAATTTTCTAAGTAATTCAAAAATTAGATCCTCACTTTATGTTTAAAGTCATGTGGGGGTCTCACAAAGGTCTGTGTTAATGTGTTGAATTTCTGTATTAATGTATTAATTTTTTTGTATTAAATGTAAGAAATATCTTAAAAGGCCCATTTATTTCAATGAGATAATCTTTAAAGCCTTTTGAAAAATGGATAGCAAATTTTCCTCAGTCAGTGCACAGCAAAACGTTAGTGTTGGTTGAGAGAAATGATTCTGAATTCATCAGATGTATTTTTCTGTATAACTTGATGACAATGTAGGGATTTCCTTGCAGCTGGAAGTTCTGCATGGTGTTTTGAGGGATGTTGATAAAAACAAGCACAGGAGCTTCTTCTACATGAGGGAGCCAGTAGAAGAAGGATCAGAGTATGAAGGGGATCAGAAAGTAAAATACTTTTTTTCTTTTTGAAATGTTTCAGTTTGGTTCATTGACTATTTTGATAAATGTCACAATAATTTCAAGTTTATATAGTATAGACCTGTGTTATAAGAGCACTGCCATGCAGTTAAATTATATAATTTGTCTCAAGATGTTGAAATGTCGAATTAGTAGACCGTTGGTGTAGACATATAAGCTAGGGGACCTCAGCTTTGATAACATACTTAATGTATGTGTTTATAGTTCTTCATTATTAAAATATGTACATGTAGTAATGAAGGTGGTATATTTCAGATCTACTGGCCAGAGAGTGACTGGCACGCAGAGAAAGTCCATGCACTGCGTAAGAGAGTGGCAGAGACCTAAGGAGCTTAATGTGAAGAAATACAGGAGTGTCCAGGAGATATGTGACTTTGTCAAACAGGTACAGTTTACTCATGCCTCTTAGACCACATTCACATTGAGTTGAGCCATGGATCTACAAAGTCACGAACTAAATATGGCGGACATACATGAAAGGAAAACCGCCTAATCTTTTAATAGTCTCCCTGCCTCTCACACGCCTCCCCATGTGTAGTCCCAATGGAGCTGAGATTTAATGACTGTATCCCCAATTAACTCGATGTGAATGCGGTCTTACTAAAATAGGGTCAATTTTGAAGTAAAACCTTAAATTCATCTTTTTACTGAGTATATGCTCCGGATATTGGGGGACCTGAGTAAATGGTAAGCAGTGGATTGAAAGAAAAAGATTTAAAATTAATATTTATTTTTATTTAAAGGATTTCCTGAATGTGATTGACATGGACTTCCCCAAGGGGACAGAACTTTCTCCACTGGACAGAGAGCGTGAGGCACATGAAGCCTTCGCTGAAGTCAGGAGGCGTGTGTACATTGGTGGCAAGGACTATTTTGATGCCATTGATGCATTCATGGCCAAGGATGAAAATGTGCCATTTGTACTGCTAGGAGAGTCTGGTAAGATGATTGACTAATTTTATTTTATTGCATTTTATGCTACATCACTTTTGGCCACACAGGAGGATTCCTTATTTTAATTTACAGATTGAATTCTTTCTTCTTTAATTTGATATTAAAATACGGTTTCATCATCTTAAGAATTCAGCCAGGGCAACTTTTATATTAGCAAAATTTCACACCTATATAGATGTATAGTTTATAATACCTGTGTAAATTGTCCAGGGTCGGGGAAGTCTGCCTTGGTGGCTAACTGGGTGGGAAAGCTGATAGAGAGAGAAACAGAAGCCTTCATCTTTGTTCACTTCATTGGCAGTTCAGCTGAGAGTGCTTCTTATATCAAACTGCTCAGGAGGTGAGATAACTTTTAACTTTAAAATCTCGAATTGTTTTAAAGATCATTAAAGTTAATATCTCATGAAATGGAATTAATGTATGATATTATTTGGATTTATGATGAATTTGAGACGTTTTTTTATTTGAATTCCTTGGATACAATGATCTTATGAATAAATAAAATAATAATAATAATAAATATGTGTATTACATATATTTGAACAAAACTTAATATCACTTGACCTGAAGTTAAAAGGAATAACATGCCAAGTTTTCTCCTGGAAAATTTATAACAATTAACTGTCGTAATAGTGACTCCATCTTGCAAATGACATTTATTTTCATTTTTAGGTTGTTTGAAGAAATGAAGAGATTCTACGGCTTCGACCTCCCCGTGCCATCCTCTGATAACAACCTGATCAGTGAGCTGCCGCAGTGGCTGAGAATGGCGGGAAAGAGGGCCAAGTGCTTCATCATCCTCGATGCTCTCAACCAGTTGGATGATGGCTCTGGTGAACAAGGTATCGTTTTATTTTTATTGTATATGATACTCAAAAGATATACAGTGTATATGGGAAATGAATGTGTTTTATAGTCAAAGTTTCAATTGGAGCTGTTGACATATTTAAATGAAATGCCACCATTTTCAAGAATGTGAAAATTCGTCTTGTAAATGAAAGTCAGAAGAAATAACTAAAAAGTAATAGGAAAGGCAGCTGCTAAATATAATATGATTAAGACCTATACACTGTGCGGAACTTGTCTTTGAACCTCTCTTTTCTCCACATCATTTAGGCAGTGAGCATGATCTGCAATGGCTGCCTAAAGAGCTGCCCCCTGGTGTGAAGATGCTGCTGTCGACATTGCCAGGGCGTGTAAGTGAAATCTACAGACAGTCATTGATGACCCTTTTTACATTATAAAAAATTCTTTTAAGGTTTACTGTCTTAAGATATTGACTGCAGTTTGCTAGCTCTCATCATATGTCTAGATGATAATTCTTCTGTCAATTTAACTCTATTTTCTCTGTGTAAAGAATTGATATAAGCAATATTTATTACATTAAAAATTTAAACATACATGTATATATATATATATTCAAATATTCAAACAGTGATTAAAAATAAGAAATACAACAAATAACAGTACTAGTCTTGAGTATCAAGTAACCATCTAAATATTGTTCAGTTTGTTCATGATTGATTTACTTGAGAGGACACCGTACATCCATATATTACTCAATACTACTGTACTATTACCTGTATATTTCAGGCCCTGCAAGCAGTTCAGAATGCTGGTTTACCCAGTCTCCATGTGAAACCACTCCAGAAGGAAGAGAAGGGAGAAATCATTGTAGGCTACCTGACTAATTTCTACGGCAAGACACTGAAGCAGGAGTTGACGCAGTTGATCATTGATGCGGAACCCACCAATAACGCTCTCTACTTGAGATCTCTGCTGGATGAGGTGATAATGTCTTGCTGTACCCCTCTCCTAGCCTGTATCAAATGAACTCAAAATAGTGTCTGTTTTAGTGCTGATATTGTCTAATATTTTACTAGTCGATAATTACATCAATATTTACAATGTATTCATTTTAGAATAGAATAAAGTTATGGTGTATATAGGCCTAGATATTGTTTGATAGACTATATCTTTATTGTAATTGTTTTCATTTTCAGAGAGGGCTATACTGTATATAGTATATATCAGTGCAGGTTATTATATCAGTGCATTGTGACTGATGTTATTGATTTTTGATATCTTTGTTGCTGATCATGAAGATCTCCGATATTCACTCTTCCAGGTCCGTCTATTTGGCAGTTTTGAGCAGCTGGGCAACAAGGTTCGAGAGTATCTGACTGCAGGGACACCTGGTGATTTGTTTGCAAAAATACTGGCGAGACTGGAGGGCGATTTTGAGGACGAGAGCAGGTAGAACTTCGCAAAGTCATATTTTGATAGCAGAATTCCTTTAGATGAATCACAAGAAATGTGAAATATGATTTATTTTATGAGAGATAGTACTGTAATTTTTGTGTCTGAATTTTGCATAAATCTTTAAAAAGAGGTGTCTGCTTTAGAAGTTTCTTTATAGTAGACTATAGTTTCTTTATAGTAGACTATGTCTTTATAGTAGACTATGTCTTTATAGTAGACTATGTCTTTATAGTAGACTATAGTTTCTTTATAGTAGACTATTGTAGAATTTATATCTGCCCTTTTCTGTTTTCTTAAATGATGTTTCATATGTTAGTTACATGAAACAATATCTAGAACTGACTTTTGTGGTTTTTGTCTGTTGATATTTGTTATCATACTAAATATTAATTGCTTAACTTCTTTTTGCTAACTTTGATATGTAAGAGTTGTTTGAACGTTGTAGACCACAGTGTGAGATGTTTGAACGTCAGTCGCAAGTTAACCATTAAACAAGCCTTTTATGTCTTGCAACCATTTCACCTTTTTTCTGATAGGCCTGGCTTGGTAAAGGACACCACTGCTGCCATCTGGTGTTCTCACAAAGGAATGTCTGAGGGAGAACTCCGGGACCTGCTGGATGTACGTATTACCAGGAATTTATGGTATATTTGAAAAGTACATTTTAACTTTAATATGATATTATTACATGTGGTATACTATGCATTAAAATTACAGTAAAATATACTTTCTTAAATGACTTGAAGACTAAGCCTTGCATTTTAATAAAATATTTTATTAAGTCATTGGTAAGCTCAACCACTGGTCCAGTCACTACAGTATTGAATTGTAATTTCTAACGATTACACAAACAATATTATTATTGATTAAAATTTAAAGCCAGTTTAAAGCATTCTGCTGCTATACTATATTTTAAATCTAATGAATTATAAAAAATTCACCAGGTGCCGCCAGCAGTCTGGTCGCCATTTTATCTCTCTCTGGAGGACAATCTGGTGAACAGAAATGGAATTCTCAACTTCTTCCACGACCATCTTCGTCAGGCTGTGGAGAGTAAATATCTCCCCACAGAGGAGGAGAAGTTGAAAGGTTACAAGACACTGGCCGAGTTCTTTGAGAAAAGAGAACTGGATGGCAGGAAGGTGGGGCAGATTTTCTTTTATTATTAAGGGACTAGTTTTAAGGAAAGTACTGTAAATGTTTTTTTTTAGCAGTATGAAAAATATCATTTTAATATTATGACATATGACCATTCAAACTGTACAGGGTTTGGTGCAAATTGTGTTGTTATTTTAGAAAGAAACCCTCCCCCCCCCACCCCCAAATGCTCCTGTTATTATGTGTTCTTATATTTCTCCTTCAGGTCGAGGAGTTGCCTTTCTTACAAAGTAAAGCTGGTGAACTTGAAAAGCTTCAAGCAACAATCAGTGACTTGAATATCTTCAAGAGATTGGTGGAGAGTGAAGATGGCAAGTTTGACCTCATCAAATATTGGACAAAGGTAACGAGGAAATTATAGCGATAAAAATTATGTCAGGCAAAGTAAAAGGTAAAAAATAATGACACACTGGTTCTTGAAATAACTATAATTTATACATTTAAACAAAGTTTCAACCTTGCAATTGTTTAAGCAACTGTAATAACTTAAAGCAATATTGTTTAATTATTAACACCAGATTTTTTAATACACTCACTTTATCAAAAGCAAAAAAAAAAAAAAAAAGGTCATATATCATATGTGACATTAAAACGAGGTAGGAATACTTCTATAATACTAACACACTAACATGTGTACTGGGTAATTAAAAAAAGCATATTTCTACATATTTCGTAGGTTTACACATTTTTAATTCTATTATTTCCGTGCCGTCAGGTGGGTGGTTTCAGCAAGGCAGAGGAGGCGTACACAGCGGCCCTGGACAATTACCCTGCAGACCAGAGAGACACAGTGGAGTATCACGCACTACAGGTCAATCTGGCTGATTTCTACATGGACACTGGGCTACTGAGTGCCGCCAGGTAACTGGATAGCATTAAGAGGGATCTGTTTGACTCAAAAAAAAAAAATGTTTCCTGGCTGATATTCAGCTGATATAACTAGTTATTTTTTTTCTTTACAGTATACTGTCAGTAGAGCTTTAATAGTGCTAAAAAAGCACTATTTTAAAGATGATATAACAAGTTTATTTTTACAACATAGGGCTATATTATTGCTAATAAAAGTAGCTGATATAGCAAGATAGATTTTACAATAAAAAGTTAGATTTTAAATAGTTCCAATACAGCACTTCTCTAATGTCACCTGTTGCAGAGTTATGCTGGAGAAGGTCCTGGCTAAGGCAGAGGAGAAGTACATTCACAGTCATGGCACTGTGGTCTACAACTTCAAATGTCACTCCTGGAGACACAAGTCCAACCACCCAGACGTCATTGATGTAAGGCTTTTAGCGATAATATTTCTTTGTCACCTTTATGTGACTACCCAGTGTTTCTTTATTTTTGATGACAAGATGAAAACAGGTGTTTGGAACAAGTACAACTCTGCTGGTGAATGTTCTTCATAAATAAATCATACAGTAAATAATAGTATATTAGGCAGTTCACATAATCAGTATGACATTTGGGGCCCTGTAAAAACAGTCAAAATTGGGAGCTTGTTCAAAGAAATCATGTGCAGGTTGGGTAGTTGTTTCATGACTTAATTTATCATAATTATTCCTGTGTGTTTTAAAAAGGTATATATATAAAACTGAGATATATAAAACTCAAATTTCCAGTTGCTCCAGAAACTTGGCACAGTGTGTCACAAGCAGAGTGTGCTCAGGGAGGCAGAATTATACTTCAACGATGCCATTGCCAGACAAAACAGGATAATTACACCTTCACAGAAACTCAAGGTAAGCTTGTTAGGTGCATGGTTAAAGTTTCAGTATAACTGATTGGTATTTCTAAATCAGGGTAAGAGATATTTATGTACTTGTACCAGTATTAAAAAAACTATATTAGTTGGAAAATTTACTGATTTTGTGTTGATTGTCAGTTTAAGGCTGTATTCCCAGAGCTTTTAGATCCATCTATCCCCACGGGGAGTCTCACTAGATTACTGTCAGATAATCCGGCTTAAATGTCCGTCCCGCCTACTACAAGCTGTAAGGGGGTAATTAACTTCGGCTGACAGCTATTTAGCGTGAACCCCCAGGGAGTTAGGTCAATCTAAAGTAGATCGATCTAATCTCTGGAAATGGGATCTAATTGAAATAACAGGTTATGAACAGATATTTTGACAAAGGTTGCTATTACATAAGTTGTATTGTGTATAATCTATAGTTTTACTTATATACCTTGGCAAGATATTTTCTCTAATTTGTTTTAAAACTTTATTTCCAGTTGACAGAAGGTCTGCTGGGCCTGGCTGCTGTTAAGGTATCCAAAGATGAAGCCATTCAAGCGAAGAGAATCCTGATCAGAGCTCGAGAGTTGGCCACTGAGGTGTTAGGATCCAGACATCATTATGTCTCTGCCATCATTAACAAGGTGGGCAACATTGACTTGTTCGTTTTGCTTTTGAGAATTGTATTTGTGAAAAACAGGTGTTTCTTTCTCATTGAATCATTTTCAAATTGGTCATTGAACAGTTCCAGTGTATTCCCTTCCAGTAATGTTAACAGAATCCACAGCATTTTACAGCCTAAAAACAATCAACTGTTAAAACCAAAACAGCATTTGTTTTTTTGAAGTCATCCCCATACCCGTTTGCTCCTTCCCAAGTTTTAGTGAAAATTTAAGTTTAAAAATAAGATAGTATAAGATAAGTTAAACATGGTTTTCTCCCACTCCCTTCAGATTGGCCAGTTAACCTACAAGCAGGGCAGACTGGAGGAGAGCCTTGGGTACTTCCTCCAGGACCTGAAGTTGACCCGTGGGGAGGTGGGGACAGCACACCCCAGGGTGGCAGGAATACTGAATGACATTGCGCTGGTCTATGATGATGGCAACGACCCACTGGCGGAGGAGCTGTACGAGGCAGCATTGGCCGTGCTTGTGGAAACCTACGGCCCTGAGCACCTGGATGTGGCCATAGTGAGGTGGGAGGGGCTTGTTATTATAATGAGGTGGGAGGGGCTTAATATAGTAGTGAGGTGGGAGGGGCTTTTTTATTATAATGAGGTGGGAGAGGCTTAATATAATAGTGAGGTGGGAGGGGCTTGTTGTTGTACTGAGATGGGTGGGGTTTGTTATAACAGTGAGGTGGGAGGGGCTTTTTATCATAGTTAAGTAGGGGGACTTTTTCCTTTGTTCTAAGTAATTTGTTGCCTTGCTAAAATATTAGGAAGCAACCTTTGTCAAACAGTTTTTCCAAATTGTAACAAAAATTGCTAAAACCCTTGTAATTTTATGTGTAATTTCCAGGTACAATCTTGGAGCAGTGTACTTTGCAACCAACCATTTTGCCAAGGCTAAGTACCAGTTTGAGCACTGTGCAGCCACATTTAAAGCCTTCCTTGGAGAAGACCACGTCCAGACTAAGGATGCCCTCAGTGCTCTGAATGATGTCAAGGGTTTGGTCAAATAATAGGATAACTTTTGTGTTTAAGATACAGAAACATTTGAGACATGAACAGGACATTCAAATGGATCTGGGACAAGGTCTTAACAGTGAAATTGCAGTTTGTGATCTCTGGTCACATAAAGAGAGTGCTGAACAGGAAAAGAGGAGCATAGTTGTGGTGTGTGATGCTCATTACAAGAATCTTTACGTTTGCACCATTAAATTGTGGTTAAAGTCGTTAATTCAGCATCAGCGATCAAAAATGTGCAACTCGAGATCACAAACGACAATCATTGACACCAAGTAGGGTCATAATTTTTTTCACCTGGCAGCTGGTATATTTAATTGCAGCTGAAATTTAATGTGATATACTGTCTTATTTAACAAAGTGATATTTACACATAACAATGTACACGGAATTCTTATAAATGTAGAAAAGCAGTGTGATATTTTTAAGGGTAAATGTTTTAGGGTCGCATTTTATATTTCCTTCTTACATTCCATCAGATAGTTTTTAAGTCAGAAATATTCCGTCCAGTGTCTATTTTTCTTGTTAAATATCTGAGTATTATATAAACTGTGATGTCAAATATTTTACTTCCCTTTTATAAATACTTTATTGCCAGATGTTTTGCTATATACTTCTTTTAAAACCATGTTACTCAATTATGATGTTCTATTTTCTTTGATTTGGTTAATGGTAATTTCTTTTTCTTATAATTTTAGTATCTGCTGTTTTGCAGCATGAATCTACATGTTCAGGGCACCTGTTGCAATCCTAATGAGTTTTTATACACGGAGAGAATATTAACTCCAGATTCTTTTTAGACAATGGCAATACTTCAGTTCTGTATGTTTAAGTAAATTAAGTGGCAATCATTGGACAAAATCTCTCCTTTGTTGTATTTTTTGCTATTTTAGTATTTTGTTTGTTATACTGTGGTATGTTATTTTGTTTTTATATTATACATTATAAAGTGGATGTTCTGTTAGCCAGAGCAGTACTTAATAAGTACATGTGTGCAGTCAATAGCTATTAGTACATATTTAACAGTAATCAATGTGTATGTTAACTTGCTATTCATATTTTGTGGATGAAGACTTTTGCTTTATAAGAATTGCATAATTTCTACCTCTGAGATGTGGATTTGTGATATTTCACTTACTTTTAAGTGTTTTAACACTATTAAAATAGTATTAAAATAGTAGTACATGACAAACAAAAAAAATCTACAGTATAAACTGTGATGACTGTATGTGATCATTGTGGTATAAGTACAACATATAAACTTGATCAATTAAAGACATATACAGAAGTACTAGTACCGTGTTTAGTTTTATTGCCAATGTAGACATGATCTACAAAACAGATGAAAAGGCATCTCTCTCAAAAACATTTGTTTTTCATTTCGTTCTAATAAAATACTGCTTTCTGTCTAAAGCTTTCTGTCTTATTTAATGAATGAATATAATTTATGCAACATGTATTTTGCTCCATGTATAAGTACATGTCCCTAAGCTAATGTACTACTACATGTATTCTTGACATAATCCACCAGTTCTATTACAAGACCACAGCCCCATACCAACACCTTGCTTGGTTCATCTGTTCAATATAACTCCAGGTATCACACACTGGATCATACACTTCCACTGAGGACAGGACTTTCCTTGCTCCACCCTGGTTGAAGGAATAAGACTTCCCTGGAAGTTAAAAATTAACATATTTGTAAGAAAGGCACTGACTGTCTCTAGTTATCAATCTTGTCCTGCAGTGACGCCAACAAGCTAGCATGCCCAAGTACGGTGCAAACTACATGGTTAAGTATCAATTTACAATACATGTATGTACCCGTGCAACCAAACTTAATCACTTTTTTAACAGATTTCATTTCTGTATCACGCAAAAATAAAAAAGAATTTTCCTTAAATGTGTTACTTTCTGCATTAATGGTCATAAATTTACACCAAACAGAAAGTAGAAAAGAAGCTGTTTCAGTCAGTATAAAATTATCAGTGGATAATATATAAAACTTGTACAATAGAGTTATGAACGATTTATTCCACCCACCTCCCATCACATAAATCTTGCCATCTAAAGTGACGGCACAGCAATGTGTTCGTGGTTTGTTCAGACTGGCCACGGTGGTCCACGACTCCGTGACAGGGTCGTACTTCTCAACAGATGTCAGACGACGGGCACTGAAGCCTCCTATGGCATAAATACAGCCATCTATAAGATATAAAGTACATATATATGATTAAACAACCAGTCTCTGAAAATTTGGATTTCATTCATTGACTTTAGGGATTGATATAATTAAGTCTGGTGTATAAATTAAAAACATTGCAAATTCACTGAAAAACGTACAACAAATATGTTATAATCTGATATCATTATCTAACACTAAGCCTCGTTATACAATAAATCTAGTTTAAGCAACAGAAAGTATGACATAAACTGTGTACATATTCATTAATTTTTTAAAAATAAATACTTATATAAATCTGACACATCAAAGTGTTCACATACTCAGGACAGTCACAGCACAGACCGATCTAGGTTCTCTCATGGACGCCATCTTCTCCCACCTATCACCCTTGTCCAGTTCCCACTTGTACAGGGCGGAACTGGGGAATACCTGGTCAGGTTTAGGGACACTGGCCCTCGTCTCCATATCTGCCCCTCCTAACATGTACACCTTCCCTCCCAGGACTACAGCACTGTGCCCCTGGTGGTGGAACTCGCGGTAGTCCTCCACGCTCCGCCATTGCCCAGATATCCTGAACTCGGGTTCTCCGTGGAAGTCCGTTATCTTAATACACACACAGCTATCTGCCGTCACACAGTAAATACAGTCTGAAGTTTGACAGTGGGTGATTGCACCGCCATCTTTAAAACATTTCACCAAAACCTGCATGGCGTTCTCCTCAACACAGTGAGTGGCGTCCTCCCACACCTCCTTCACGATATCAAAGTGATAACACTTCCCGCGTGCCTCCTTCTCCTGTGCCATGGTGGACTCCATGTCTATCATGACAGCTATGCAGTATATACGCCCTCTGGTGTTCAAAGCATATAAATGTGAGGGGGTTTCTGGTAAGGGGGCCACGGGGTCCCACTCTCTGATCTCTGTGCTGTAACGCTCCACAGTCTTCAGTCTGGGACAGGTGGGGCTAAAGTACAGGAAAACAGAGAATTTCTATGAATATTACATTCTTAAACCAGGCCCGTATCCAATAATTTCAAAATGGGGGTTTCTTTTTAGAAAAAGTGGATCTTTTTACAATGAAACCTTTGAGTACCTAGAACAAATTTAACCCAGAAAGCACCTTTTCCTGTCAAAAAGAGCAATTCTTTTGCAACCCCCCCCCCCCCATCTCCCCCCTGGCTACAAGCCTGTAAACTGTTTGGCTGAAGTATAAGAAGTTTCTGTACTGGTTTCTTAATCTCAATGATCCTGGACCAGATGCGCAATTACAATAATATCAAAATACAGTGCAGGCATCAATTTAAGACAGTTTTCAATGTTTGGCCACCAAAGAGGGGTTTGTATCTTTGTACAGACATGTAAAAAGAAATAACATAATCAATAAAACATTAAATGCACCAGACAAAACATCTCATGGGTCAAACGTGTAACAACAATATTTTACGGGAGTCAGAGCAGCAGTGTCAATTATAACCTAGTCTAACCATTCAAGAGATTATTACCCTGTTCTAGACTGTAAGTATCCTCCTATGACATAGATGTAGCCTGGTCTACGCCTGGCCTCATATGGGAATGACAGCCGGGTGGAGATCAGCTCCTGAAGTTCTAAAAAAATCTTTTAAAATTAATCCCTAGAATTAATCATTTTACTTTGAAAAAGCATTCTTTGATACAGTATACTATCTAAAACAGAAGCAGTTAGCAAAAGCAATAATCTAATATTTTTCAGAGGATGCCTTAAATCATTATTTCTACATCTATTTACAGGGATGTTATTTGTAAGTGTGTGAGTGTGGGGGGGGGGGAGGGGCTGAAAATCAAAGATATTGTGCAAGCTGAAAAATGGAAATCCAGAAAAAGAATGATTTATCAACATTCTGCAAAGATACAATGTATCTTCTGAAGTGACATGAAAAATCTAGGTTGGCCCAATTCAGCTTTATAATCCATCTAAACGTCTTAAATTCAAGGTAAATCATCTACAGGGGCGGATCCAGAGTTATTTTCTGACAGTCTTCCAAATTATCTTTGTTGATCCATCCTCCATTTTTTGACCGTCTTCCGACAGAAATAATTAGATACCCGTCAATGTAAACTTGAAAATCTGACCGTCTTCCGGAAGACCCAGAAGACGCCCTAAATCCGCCCCTGATCTAAACTACTCACAACACCCCATTCCTCACCCTTGTCCTCTTGTATGACACCGAGTCCCCTAAACCAGTCCAGTGTTTCCTTTGACACCCCAGAAAACCTGACCAGAGACAGCAGAGACTTCAAGTACTGCTTTCTGTGCTCCTGGTCATGTTCTGTCCACCTCCAGACCACCCTGACCACCTCATCCTCACTGGCCTCTGCACCTGGGGATTGATATATTCACCAACTTAACGCAATTTTTGTACAATGTTTGTGAATTATTTTCCACAAGATTGTCTTTGCACATGTCAAAATTCTTTGGCACTCAAGCTTTAATAAACAATAACACACGTTGTGAGGTATACCTAAGTAAATATCCCCCCAGCTGAGAATCCTTTCTACTATCTCTGGTGGAACCGTCAGGAACTCTTCTTCTCTACATATCAGTGTGAACTGTTGTTTGACCAACCTGGCTGCTTTCTCTGCCAGCTGCTTCTGCTGAAACTTTTCTGCCAGGCAGTACACACCTATAAGTAAAATTATTAAGACTCATTAAGTAATATTATAAAATCCTTACAGTTGGTAGTTTTTCTGAGGCAGACAGAAAATGAAACTAATTTTTTTCTATTTTCTAACAATAGAATCATCTCACTTAAAATAGCATCACAAAGAATTACAAAGAAAAAAAACACCAGTAAAAGAATGACCTAAACAGTTTGTGACATCAAGCTGCTTCTCCATAAAATCTGTACAAAAGTTGATCACTTCAGCCATCTGCCACATGTCAGAGAGCAGAAACAGGCTCTGGACATTCTCGGCGTTGACTGAAACAGGATACAAAGTGTTCAAAATGTAACGGCGAGCAGAAATGGTTTTATCTACAAACCATGTGACAAAATATCAAAAGTAATTGTATCCCTGCCAATGTATGTTCCTGCATGCGTGTATATGCATGTTAGTATGTGATCACACAAAAACATTTCAGTTATTATCTTATTATGGCAATATCAAAAAATTTCTGTTCTTTTAAATTTTTTGAGTGAGAGAGACAGTGGGGGGAGGGAGAGAGAGAAAGCATGTCAGTGTGTCATCAAATGAATACATTTCAGTTATTATCTTATTATGACAATATTTAAATTTCTCAGTTCTTTAAAAAATTTTTTTTGA